ACAAAAAAGTCCAGCACGAGTTGCGATACATAGCCAAGATACTATTTTCGGCAATTTTCAGTTTCCTTCAAGTCATTTTGCGCCCGATGTTATCGTACATTTGTCTAGCTGTTTTCTGACAAGCAGTGCGTCTTGCTTTACTGTAGATGAGAGAACCAGCCAGCTCTAACAGAGACGTCTTGCTTTACTGTAGATGAGAGAACCAGTCAACTCTAACGGGGATTTCATGAGGAGCTGACACGAATCACTTTCCCACTTTGTTTCGGTGTCACTTTCGCTAGTCGCTAAATGTTCCAGTGTCTTGCACAAAGTACGGTTCATCCTTTACTGGATTTTCAAACTGGTATTTTCTCGCTTTTTACCGACAGAGTGGCACAAATTAAACTTGTGACTTGGTTTTTCAGGGGACCACCGAATGGTATGATCTACTCATCGCCAGCACTTTACCTTAATGTTTCAACTGGAGCTGTTTCTCGTGAAAGTACATAACTTTTAGAAAGGAACTTATTCACAAGGTTGCTGAAAACTCTTCGACAGCCCACGACCGGTTTTGCCCTTCTTGGGGCTCATCAGGTAGGTGCAGTCCCCGAGTTTCCGTCAACCTTATGTTCTACTTGAACGCAAATTAGACTGTTTTCGAGAAACTCACTCATTTGCAAATCAATTTGGTTTTCACGAAAGACTCAACTGAATCTCTCGTTTATGATGTTCTGCGACTGAATGTGCTGCACACAGGCCGCCTCATGATTCAGTTGGCGCGATATTCGAGATATCGCAAGGTTGCTGAAAACTCTTCGACAGCCCACAACCGGTTTCGCCCTTCTTGGGGCTCATCAGGTAGAATATCATAAGTGAGAGATTCAGTTGAGTCTCTCGTGAAAACCAAATTGATTTGCAAATTAGTACATCTATTTTAGTTTTTCTCATATTCAGGGCCGTTCATCTAGCATTCACATTATGGGGATCCCGTTTATTTTAACTGTGGAGATGAATTCACGATTAACGACTCGGAAACCTGAAATTTGTTGTTGATACTACCAGTAGAAAAGAAAATTGGATTTTTTAGGTTTTACATAAGCGAAAGTACAATCCTGCAGGCAGACTCGAACCATCCCCCCCCCGCTTATCGTAGCGGAGGACGAGAGTTGTCAGAAGCTCGGTAGGTAAAACACGTTTTCCGTAATTTGAAGTTCGGTGGTCATTTTTGTGGCGTTTCGTTTCATTTGAACTTCTTGTTTCGGCACAGCCACCGAAATGCGCGCCTGCGAAGCACTTTTCCAACAAAGTCCATTGAGTATACTGGCTTGGAGACAAGACACTGACAAAAGTCAGGTGATTTTGGTTGTCTATAACCTTCTCATTGGATATATAGACATTTCCAAGATCAGAAATTCGCTCCGTCGATTGACAGTACAAGCGAAACGAAGAATGGGTTACTGTATGCCGTTTTTTCACACAGGGTAGGATTTCAGTCCAGTCAAATTGTTCAATAAAATCGGTGGTCGTTGATAGTGTGAAGAAATTTGGGAGTTCTGTGGAGATTTCGTCCTGTAAGAGGAGCCAATCTATGCTGAAAAGCCGACAAGCACTGTACAGCTGTTTCATTCTTATTGGGAATCAGTGCGCATCTCACGACCCCGAGACCCTCTGGCTAGTAGTATGAACACTTAACAGTTCGGTCGCTGGCGGCTGATCAGCAGTGTGATTAACTCGCACTTAGACAGGATATAGCGCCGCTCATCCTTCCATCACGGGATCCACATCACGCGGTCATACGTAATGACTGGCTCCTCGAGCAACGACTTCTCAGATGGAAGTTTCACTCATTGGGTGAAGTTTATTTTTCCAGTAAGGCATATTTTTCACGATTCTACTTCCTTGCCTTTTGGAATGAAACAATATGTGTAAAGTAGTTTTCACTGCTTCCTTGATACTAAAACAACACGAAAATGCATAACAGACTACTGATGTTGCAAAAAGAGAGGCCCATTTCTACGTTTGTAATGCACTACTCATAAGGTTACTGAAAATTCGTCGACCTTATGTGCATTACAAATACACATGTATCTCGATAACTCCAAAATCGTAGCGACTGTAACATGAGGTGGCCTGGTGCAGCACATTCAGTGGCCTGGAGACATCGCAGGCAAGACATTCAGCTTGTTTCCAGGTGACCCTCTCAAAAAATCAAGTTAGTTTGTAAACGGGCGTATTTCGCTGGGCTTATTTCTGTTTGTTAGCTGTTTTGGCTCCATTCGTGTAAACAACACTCAGTCAAATCTAGGACAGCTACGGGTTCTGCCAAAAAAGCATCCATTTGGTGTTCATCGAAACATTTCTGGCTGTGTCCAGTGGCTAAGATAGGCACCACTAATTCTTCGTCACTTTTGTGATTTTCGACAGATGTTTCCACGCCTACCTACCAATCGGTGTGGTCGAAAATAACGTTCGAACTGTTCCAATCGCGCACACTTTATCCTCATTTGTTTTCCCTATTCGGATTCCTTTTGGATAAAAAAACCTATTCTGTAGCGTGTCTGAGATTTCTATGCTTAATCGTAGCGAAAGAATTTCCCCAGGTTGACATTGCACCACCGCTGTGAAACCGTTTGTGCAATGAACTGTCTTTGTTTGTTCCTTCCTCTTCCCTTCGTCTCATGACCTAGCAACGGTGGCTGCGTGAACTGAGCGAGATGGTGGGTTCGTCGTGTTTAGCGCATCAGTACGGCTATCGCCGAGACTGGTCTAATTGCATGCTCCCGGCGCTGTTCAGTTTTCACCTTTACTGTTGTCACCTTGTTGTCATGGCAACTGCATCCCTCACTTGCTGCAGCTTAGACGCGTTTGTTTTTATGCTTGAAATCGATCTCATTGTCCGTGCGAGTTGGGATGGGTATGATGGCAAACTGTGTGTTTCTTCGATTGCGTCAGTTGATGCGACTATTTTAGGCCTGTGTTAGAATTATCTCTTGGCCTAGCAACCAAAGTAATAATTTCGCTAATTGAATGGACAGGCACAGGCTTCTGTGGGTTTGTCGTTTTGTTTTCCCCGAACAGAACTGAGTAATCCTTAGCTATTCCGGAAAAACCCCTTTGGTTTGATCATCTGCCCAGTGGTATATTTTCGTCAGTATAGAGCGGCTTTTGAATCAGCAGGCATTTGTTCTGCAATGAATCCACGGAATGCAAGTAGTCTGCTCGGTTGGAAAGGCATCTCATAGGTCCTTGGACAATTCTGTTAGAGAACTCTCATTCAAGAAGACAGACCAATCACATGAAGTAAACGGGAAAATACGGGTGGTCGAACAAAAAAAAACTCCTGTCCAAGAGGTCGCGGACTGGGGGACTCCCAAGAAGGATGAAGAAGCTGCTCGCAGCTAACCTTACCGACTTCTGTAGGTGAACGTTTACGCTATGGTGTTATGGATAGGTGGATCAGGAAGACTGGGCGTTCTATTGGCAACAAGGAAGTAGTTAGGATTTCGGAATAGGTAATAGACGCTTATTCGGATCAAACCATGTAAACAGTGAGTAAAGCTGTTCATCAGATGGTATTTGGTATGTCCATTGAGCTTGGCATTTGGCTCACAAATGATGAATCCCAACCGCGCACTGGCGTTTTCCACCCCTCGAGCTACCAATGTAACGGTGATACTACTGATGGGGAAGCATTCGAGTAGTATGTTTTCTTCTTGTAAATTCGGTTCGCGTCTCTTGACAAGGGACATCTGTTGCGGAATTTGTGGAGTCGGTTTGTAGCACTTGCTTGGATTTGAACAGTAGTCGATGAATATCCAGGAAAGTTCACGAAGAAGGGAAGATGGATATTCGGTTTTTGTAAATAAGATGCAAATGCGAGTTTTGCTTCCCTGTCTGATAGTAGGTAACTGCTCAGTTGGCATTTTCTAATGGATAACTCCTTTCACCAGTATTTAGACATTTCCGAACATGGATCTCGTCACGTTGCACTACCCTTTGGGAGTGTTTCCAACCAGTCTGTCGCCTGAGTTACGGTAGCGTCAGAACCTCGTGCTCAAATGAAAACTCTTCACGTCGGACTTTGTGGTTCCACAGACAGACTTCTTGTCGATCTGGACGTACGAATTGAAACACGCTTACGTGACTACTTGTGTCCCCATCTTCTCATGGGATTGTACTCTTCCATTCAAAATCCTCATTCATAGGTTATCCTTGATTATGGTGAGGACATTCAATTAAATCGCACACGGACCGTCCATCTGGTGCAGTGGCTTTTTGAAAACCGAACTCTTAGTCAAACCTCGACCTGGGCAGTCGGGGTCTTGTCGTCTAGACTTTTGAAGTGAATCTCTGATCCCCCTTAGTGCCGTCCATCAACGATTGCGTTTGTTTGACTAACATGTTGACACCTCGTCGATGCAGCAGTCTCAAAAACCCTGTTCCCATGTCTCCTTACGCTGCACCGATCAAGTTTGTGTATTCACTTTGCGACCATCTCCCGTTGTAAAACAATTCGATTTCAGGCAACCAAGCTGATGTGTCTAACCAGCTTCGTTCTCCGCTGACGGTAACGTCATGCTGAATTCAACTCACTTTAGGCGGTTTACTGGGTCGCTGTCAGTACTTCAGAGCAGTTCACGGTGTGCACCTTGTCAGCTGACCACTTTTGGTCATTCTTTTATGAACTTTGTTTCACATTCCCGCCAGGAGTGTCATCCACACGGTGGCCATCACTATTACTTAACTTAAACGTAAATCTATCGCATCTTATTCTCGTTCATTAGAAAACGTTAACTTATCACGTTCTCTAGTACCCACCGCTTTAGAACGATTTTTCCAACGGATTCCGTCTGAGTGTTCTCAATAGGAGCTTAACTGCGCTACCTCGGAAGCGGTACGTATTTGACCGCGACTCACTGCTCTTTCCATTTGTTGTCGTGTTTTTTTTGGACTAGTACCTTCAGACTAACTTTGTTCGCCCACGTGACACCTCACTTTGTCTTCTTCGATTCACCTCACAGACCGAAATTGGTGCACGCGTCAAAGACGCATTCATGCTTTTCATGGCCAGTCTGCTTAAGGACTATCGTAGCTACCTCATTCCTGTTCGATTGGCAGAAAGGGATATGCTGTTTAACAATGAAGGTGAGTGCGTAGACAATGTTTCTCCCTCCCTCTCCCTCCCAATCACATGTAGCCCATCTGGTAGTTCTGGTTAGCTCCCACAATTCAGTACCATCTACCAAGAGTATGTTGGTTCCAGCTGCCCCGGTCGCGGTCACCAGAGATAGGGGAAAATTGGGCCAGGCATCGGGGGCCACACCATGGTCAGTCTTTTCGCTTAGCCCACTAATATTTTTCTGCTGATGAACTGAATCGTCCAGGTTCGAAATCCACGTGCCGTTCGATTTTTGACATCATATGCCCTCCTCACCTTAGTCATCATAGAACAACTCTCTCAGCATAGCACAACTTCATACAAAAGCCATATGAATAACTTTACAAACCATTGGTGAGCAAAGGACCGACGATTGTGTTTGTGCAACTCGGTCAGTTAATCAATATACTGGAGGTGGGCAAGATAGCTCAATGGTTAGAGCACGAAGTCACCTACCAGAATGACCTTGGTTCGAACCAACCTCTGGCCTCTCGGTTTCCCCTGTCTGGACTTGGGCAACCTGGCAGTATACCAACCCTCATGCAACCTTCGGGTGGCATGGCAGCTAGGCACCGAAGGGGTTCTACAGCTGATCGACTTACAATATACACTATATATATATATATACTATATTCCGTTCATCAAAATAAGTAACAGCTTCTTGGCGCGTTCTACTGTATCGGGTGCCCGGCCTTCAACATAGGGCTTTTCTGTGAAGCCGGCAGCTTCTGAACTGAATTTTCCGCACTATCATGAGTCTTGTGTACAGCCTCAACGTCACACTCAGTTCTTCTCGAGCATGTCATCTGGCTCTTTGATCCACAAGGAAAGTTTGCCAAAGGACGGCATTCGCTATCCGACTGCGCAAAGTTTTACCAACGAATCAAAGTGCCAATCAAATATATTTGGAGTAGGGATCATCCCGGTCAAAGCCACATGTAAACGCAGGTTACACTAAGTTATTAAGAGGTTAGACATTGATACCCACAAGTTGCAAGTAGTTCGAATAACTTCTGTTGTGTCTTGCTGGACGGTAGTGCAACTCCGTATCGGTCCCTTGGCTTCCTGCTCCACCCACTATGGTATAACAAAAGGCACAGTAGCTCTACACAGCCTTTTTTATGGAGACGAAGGAAAATTATTCCAACTGTATTTGTAGGGTAGTCACAGTGTTCTACAAGGTCGTACTAGAATCTCCGTGCCGGGCGAGAAGCGTCGAGTCGATCCGGATTGGCAGGCATTCTGACCAATCAGAGCATGCCTTCGTTGGCCCTGCACATGACACATCCGTACAAATTATGTGATCTTTGGTTACTAGGGTCGAATAGCCTCCGGACGTATTTCATCCCATAGCCTTCCCAGGACTTCTGGGGACCTTATACGACGATTGGAGCTATTGGACTATACGCAGTTCGTACTGAACAGGCAGTAGGAACAGACGGATGAGGGAAGAAGATGGTACGTTAAGAACTGGTTCTATGAACAGATGGGTTACCAAATATCATGAACTGAGCAGAACACACAATGATTAGCAGCGCAATCGGTAGGAGCAGAAAAGTTAGCAGTCAGGCAACACGGCTTTCTCGAAGCCACAGCGTGTAAGTACCAAATGATACACAAACGTACAGATCCGGACAATCAGACAGTCTAAGTAGACCGGATATAGAGACAACAGCGCAGAAAACAGTCAGAAAGTTCGGGGGGTAGCAAAAACTGTCTGGCGAACTGGTATCGGGTGAACTTGGAACGCTGTCTTTAGCTGACAGCGCAACGAAGTAGCACGTACCACTTTTCAAATCGAAATACGCGCCTATCCCCGTTCAAAACGAAACCCAAAGGAGAATTATCAAGTGAGATCCAATACAAGGGTAATGCCGAAAATAGGGCTGTAGGGAAGTCGATTTGGCGCAGCGGATAGTGCGCTTGTTTGTCGTTTCGTGGGTTCCGGGTTCGATCCCTGTCGGCCCACTTTCTTGTCGAAGCAGACACTCGAACATAGACAAAGTTGACACGAGTTGCAAGCGAAGACGGATATGTGACGAAATCTCGACACTGCTAACTGGAGAGTAAGGGGAATAAAACCCTGGGGAATGACCAGCGGGAAGCAAAACGATATTACAATAAAAAGGCATCGGTCATGCTACTCATAAGTAGTCAGAAAAAATGGGGGAAAATAACCACTGATTGCCGTTCATTCCCTAGATGAACCAACGCTAACACTGGACAATACTAATCGATAATTTTTATGGCTAATTTGGCATTTGAATTTGCTTTCGAATGGCGTCTCAGTGTCACTGTAGCTGCCGATCTCATCAGTGGCTCCATCCAAAATTTCAAACCAAACATGAAAAGTAAGATTATACATGAAACCTCACCCATGGCTTGGTGCAATCTGTAGTTTCTTCTACCGTCTAATCTCTTCCGTTTGTCTGTGCATGAGCGGCGACACTGTCCTCGTTATTTTTCTTTCAGCGTTTCTCACACATTCGGCTGACGATAAGTCACGCCCATTCTACAGTGCTCTTTTTCAAACACAACAATGGGTAAATTTTGTGCGTGACCGGAGCTACGCCTCACCCCGTGAAGAAGAGTTGACCAACTTTGACAGTTTGATTGCCCGATTGTGGGGTGAGCGGCGCGCCTACTCGGGCAATCGCACAGCTAGCGCTTGTTCTGTTTCCAGTGCTAGCTCTGTTCGCCACAGTGCAGACAACAGTTCCGTGGATATATCTGTGATCCCTGGTCTCAACTCTACTCGAGATGCCCGCGATGAGTCATTCGTGCTCAAACTTCTCTCTTACGGACAAATGACCAAGTAAAGCGTCTTCATTTTGTTTAACCTCTAAATCTACTCTTGTTTGTTGTCATCTACGTCGGCACTGTTCACATACCCAACCAAACAGATAAGACTTTCCACTCCTGTCTCCAACTGTGGGGCAGTCACACACTGGAGCTCGATTTTAATGAGCAAGCGGTGAGATATAGTTCGAACAGACTAGGGTAACCCGCACAATCCCCGTCACCACTATTCAAACGCGAGTATTCTGAGGACACCATCTGGCGGGAACACTTTTGTGACCCTGTCTCTGTCGAGCAATATGAAACCAGTCGGTACTCAGTGCTCAGATATACCTGCTTCCGCTCTACGTGTTGGCTTCTCTCATGCATCCGTTATTTTAGGTACGAATACAGAACCACACCAAGATATCATCTGAGATTTCTTTTAATTTTATTTCTTTCTGATACAGGTCATATTTGGTTGGCCTTTTCAATCTAGTTGAAACCAAGTTGGAAAAATAATGTTCTTTCAGGTGTTACTGCCTTTTGCGCTGCAGAACTAGCACTCCACGATGATTTGGTGTACCGTTGGTATAATATGCTATACCATACTATACTATACTATGCTATACTACAGCCACCGTGCTGCTTTATTATTCATGCATGGTTTCTTGAAAGTTCACTGTTGACATGCGAACTCGTAGCTATTGTGCCAGAAAGTGTGCCCTCCCAGTAACATACGGTTTACTCATTTACTTCACCACATATATTCTGTACTCCATCTGTACAGTCGCTGCTGATTAGTTGCACCTGAGACATTCATTACCCAACCGACTCTGTCTATATTTTACAGTGAATCGACATGCACTATCGGTCCCCCATCATGGCCGGTACCACTTGGCGATTTCAGCCCTGAGGAGTCAACTGAGACGACAAAGCACCGCGAAAAGTCTCTTCTCCCGCGTTGTCCATTCGATCTTGTACCTGTGAACTTGAATACCCGCTTGATGGACCGTTTGGTTTCCTATGCCTACCAACAACAATTTAACGCCTTGGATAAAGCCTTCGGATTGGCTCCAAACGATTCCAATGGCGGTTTATTTTCCTTGGCGGCCTCGGATCCTCAGCCCCCGACTGGTACCCCAGCTGCAGGCAATCGAATGTTTTACTCACGACTCTTGGGGGTTTGCCCCACCGTAGAGAATCCTTCCCCATTGATCCCTCGAGCGTCACTCAATCTTGGACTCACTGGATTGCCCACAAAATTCCCGTTGCCAATCAGCAGTAGCTGGATTTTACGACGGTCTCCATTAGAGGTGGGACACACAATGGAGTTTTGTAAGTAGACGTGTATTTTTTCGAACCGTTTTGAAGTTAGTTGTTCATTGCAGCCGTCTCATGCCTGTCAATCAGAACAACCACAGAGTGAAACAGAAACGAACACGAGCTTTTGTCACAGTCTTTATTTTTTCTCGCTGATGTAATGAACTGAGTGGGTTCAGATGATCATTTTCATCGTATGCATAAGTTTGTCCCTCTTAGCAGGTTAAAATCTGACCTCTGATTCCCCCAACTCGATAGCTTTATGTAGAGTAAACATGTATGGAATCGATAGAATACTGGTCCGTAGCAATATATGTAAGGGACATTGGTAGCTTCAAGGCCAAATACTGCTTTGTTGGTGCCCAGGTCGAACAAAGAATCTGTTTGAGATGACCACCTTGAGTCGCTTCCATGTCGCCATACGAATCCAAGTCTCCAGTTATCTACCCAGACAACAACGCTAACCGCTTCATTAATTTGTACGCAGGTCGGTATATGGCCTTAGAGACGCCTAGTAAGCTTCAGGCTTCCCCGGTCTGTAGGTAAAGGTGAATGCATGGAATGTGGCAGTGCCCAGTGAAACCAAGGGAAGAGGAATCTTTAGTATCAGCCGGAGACGGTCCCGATTGTTGCAGCTCATATCTCATCTTCGAATAGTGCACCTCTTGGTTTGGTTCGGCTGTTTGGCAAACCGAAGGCTGATAAAATGTATAGCAAATTCATAGAAGTCGTTGCATACCTAGCGGCGAAGACTGGCATTCTGGGAAAGCATCAGCAAACTTCCCAGGTGAATAGACAATCCGGAGAGGTGTACACAGCGACGCCAGAGCAGCTTTGTGGCAGCTGAGTGATTTCGGTTACCAGATAATTTGCGTACCACGAGAACCGTATGTGAAGCCGTTTCGCCAGTTTGAGCTCCAGTGGAGATTCACGTAAACAAGCGCACAACCTCCTGTCTTTTTACCCGGTGCTTCTTGATCAGCCCGATCAAGCTAAATTTCCTCGGAGGGTAGAAGATCATCGGTTCTGCGACCAGAATTCTTTTGTGCGCATTACTTCAGTAGAGAGGTGACCCAGCTCATCGGTTTTTCCGTGTAGACCTCCCACTCAGTAATGAATATACGGGCTCACGTGTTCCCTTCTGACATGCTCTGTTTTGTAATACTTCGGCCTAATATGCGTGAAAGTCGCATCGAGTACCAACAACCTAGTGGGCAGCATTTTGCGGACACGTTATGGTTTCATAATTACGCTTGCGTGTTGGTGATAACCCAGGTTGTGTACATCAGTGCATCATGAAAACGCCCAGGCCTAACCATCAGTGACATCTGTAGCAGCCTAATCAAGACCGACCGACCGACCGCGTATTTTCCAACATTATCTGATGGTTGAACTCAAAGTTCATGGCTTGACAGTTGTCGGGTGGTGTAGCGGTAAAGAACCTGGATTTCGTTACCTTAGTATCCGGTTTGACCTGAATCATGTCCATCAAAGCGGCCCGCAGCTTGACAATTCCGGTCCCCGTCCACCAAACGAGTCCCAGTATGGACAAAATTCCTCGTGTTCCGGCTGCATTTTTTCTATCACTTGTAAATGAAAACCGCTCTTCCGTTCTCCAAACTGATCCTCATCTGTGTCCTGGATAGCAGTCAGTGGTCTACCCATCCGTCTCCGCGGGATGTGGACGAATGTGACGCGTCTTCCGATTACGAGAGACGTTGCTTTTGTCCGTACCAAAAGAATTATCGGGCCATCTAGAACATCAGTTGTTTTTGTTCCTGTTGAAACGGTTTTTTAATTCGTACTGAGCAGTACTGATGTAACGGTGATACCACTGGTGGGGACGTACGCGAGTAGTATGTGTTGTTCGTGGAATTTCGTTTTGCGTCTCTTGCACAAGGGAGATCTGTTGCGGAATTTGTGGAGTCGCTTTGTAACATTTGCTTGGATTTGCGCGAGGAATAATTGGAGTCAATGACTCTCCAGGAAAGTTGAAGAAGCCTCGTTAGGAAGAAGATT